AGGGGTAAAGTTGGAAACTTTACCCTTCTTGATGTTATTTTAGTTGAGATATGAGTTATGAAGCCCTTAGTCTCGATAGTGTTCGCTTAATGGATTAAGATGTTGGATTTTTGGCGAACCCGGCGAGTTTATGGATGAACTCGGTGAGTTGGATTGGTTTCTTCCTGACTTTACAGACTAATGGATAAACTCGGTGAGTTGAAGGACAACTCGGCGAGTTGGGTCAACTCGGATCGTTGACTTTGACTTTAGTCTTTGACCAAGTTTGACCTATAAGGGGCTTTTGGGCATTTTGTGTTGTACTTAAGAAAATATTTTATGTTTAGGGGTTGAGTAAAGTCGATATTCGAAGTCGGGATCCGTTCAACTACCTATCTGTATTCGAGGTGAGTTTCCTTACCGGGTTTAGCGGGTCGAAGGCACCAATGCCGACCCATGTTAATGTTATGTTGTTAGTATGCTAGCTGTCTTTGTGATTCTTGCATGTGCTTGTGTTTATGTGTTTTTTCGGGCTTAGGCCTGATGGATATTTGTATGTTATGTGATTATTGCATGTATATGTGGTTATTTGATATACGTTATTGTATGTTGGGCGGGGCCCGTTTACCGAGCTCAGCTCGATGTCGGGCGGGGCCTGATGACATGGCGGGGCCCACTCTATGTTTACTGTATGTTCATTGTATGGTTGTTATGTGGTATTTTGGGGAGACTCACTAAGCTTTGTGCTTACCGTTTTTAGTTCATGTTTCAGGTACTTCCGGTTGTAAAGGGAAGAGATCGGGATGACTGCATCACACACACCGTTAAGATTCCGCTTATGATGTTTACTCTGATTTTATGACCAAAATGATACATTGGGTTTTATTTAAATGTTTGAATGCTATTGGAAAATACTATTTTATCTATTATTAAAATGAAATTTTTGGGACCGTATTTTTGGATGTTTCAAGTTTCCTCCACCATTAAGCCTCATATGAAGACCTTTTAGGGTCTGTTTTGAAGTCATTTTGGATGGTTCAAAACATGGTATTTTTACATAAAAAATACTCACTAGAATTGAAATAGAAATTAACATGAGTTTTAGCAACAACAAAGAAGGTAATGATTCGAAAACTTTGAGCATTTCATGGACTTGATTAATAACCCTTTTGAGAGTGTTCATGAACATATTTTGGCAGCCATTAAACCACCAAAATACACTCATTAAGATTGAAAAATTAACCACACATAACTACAAAAATCAAGAGTAGAAAGCATCATGATCAAGGATAGAAAACAGGAAGCAATTGACAATGATATCAACCAATTCTTATCAATTGAAGATGAAATAACATGAGAAAGAAAACCATAGACTTGCAAGAAGGAAGAATTGATTTCCAACATTCTCAGTTGATATCCACGCATAGAAACAAACAATCAAAATAGAAAACAAAGTCTAAGTTTCATATTTTGAAGTTTCACAGCCCGACCCATGTTCAGTGTTTTGAGCGTAAAATAGAATCTACAACTTCAAAAAGGGTGTTATTAGAACTTCTGGAAACTAGAATCGATTTCATACAATTTTATCTCTCTAGGGAATTGTCTATTTCGGACCAGATTGAGGCCTATAGCCCTCGCAAAACAGATCATCAATTCAGTTCAAGTTTCTAACTTTGACAAACATCAACAAATACTTCAACGATTAAGATAAAGACTCGAAAAATAGAGACGGATGGTAAGAAATTCATTTATACCTCTGAAATGGGATAAATTTCTAGGAGAAGAAGTAAGGAAGAAGTCTTTAACCCAACAAATAAGTATCTCCAATTGAAAGCACCAAAATCACCACCACAAATTCTTAGATTTCCACCACCACTTCAAGAAATGAAATGTACTCAAGAACTCACTTCAAAATAGTGTGGAGGCTGCCAATTAGGGTTTAATCCCCTATTTAGGGTTAGGGGGGGTTACTTAAATACATCATAACTTTCATTATTGGCCCTCAAAGTATCACAAAATGACTCATAGACCCATATACTTTATCAAGGTTCATTTTATTACACTTTGGCCATCCAAAGATAAATTTAAACAATTGAAAATGTTAGTTTAAGAATAAGACTTAACAGGACACTAACACCGATGACAGATAGAAATTCGGGCCGTTACACTTTAAACCGATTTTATTATTTAAAAAATTAATTAATTTGCAATAATAATACACTTCTCCAACAATCCTAAACATAATGATTGAAATTTGATGTAGCAAATCAATTAGGGTTGATATCTTCTTCATGAACTCGCCCAATAATATCAACTGATTGAAAGGAGTTTGAGTCCCAAATTAAAAATCCAACATGGAGCTTCCATAAATCTAAACACATTCATCAACCAAAATATATTATCGACATTGATATCTACTTCCAACATGTCAATCCATAATAGAATCATGGTTGATTGAATTCACCTATTTGGAATTGCAAAACCACCATTACATATCCATTTCATAACAAAATCTTTATATGAGAATAATCATAGGTCTCTTAAATCAATTGTAGGAGATAAAATATATTATTTAGTAAATGATTACGAATATGTAATCGTCAAGTTTTGTGAACCGATTATGCATAATGTAGAATGGAAAATAATTAGGTTGTAAATAACCATATCAGAGTAAGGAGATCTATTATGAGAAAGATTGCAAATGGGTATTTTAGTAATTTAGTTATAACCTAGTTTAAAGATGTTTTTTAAAATTTAAATAGATTAATGACAATTAAATTAAGTATTCAATATATATGTGAGTTTATTGGTTTTATAAGATATACATGTAATTTAAGGTTTTACAAAGATATAGACGTAATTATGAAAATTTATAAAGATATAGACGAAATTCACCCAAAAAACTATAAAGTTTCTTTTATTTTTCTACCATGAAACAATCAATTCAACAATTTCAAATCATGCTAGCAAATATGTGCGTAACAATTATGTTTTATCTTTCTTGCCAAGTTGAAACGATGTGTCTTCATCTAATGTGCATAACATTCGTGTTACGACAACAATTGATTAAGCTACAATACTTCTTCTTCTGGATGCTGCTGTAATGACCCGACTTTTCTTAATAAAATATTTTGGGGATTTATCAGAGTTTTACTATAAACTTTCAAAAAACCCAAAGTTTTAAAACCTTTTACATCCCATAATACATTCAGGTTTACAACATATCTTAACCATGATTTAAAGCAACAAGGATATACCAAATAAAATCTACATCTAGACCATGTCCTTGGTGCTATTGTCCCCTCTTGTACTCTGACTATTACCTGAACCTGCAACACATGACAAACTATAAACATCATACAACATTTTCTGGTGATCTATAAAACACTTTATTCTCGTCTTCTCATGCTCTTCCATTTTCTTTTCTCATTAAGATCCAAATGGTCTAGTCACATAAAATAACTACGTCTATCATGTAAAGTGACATCATAGTTCTAACCTTACCGGTGTACAATCATCCAAACTCAGGCCCCTTACTTTGATCCTTCGTTATTCCATCGACAACATTTCTTTTCTATAATCCCTTACGGATTCCAATGATTGCCCAAGGAGCCACTATGTATAATCCCCTACGGATTAAAATGATTTCTTACGACTCCACTACTCTTTATGACCCGTTTTCTTCCTCTCTCTATATATGTCATTATCTATCTTCGTATCTCTATCTTTTCTCATTTTATCTAGATCTCCATTTCTCCTCTTTATCTCAAACTCTTCTCATTATTTCTAGCTCTATCTTTTCTCGTTATCTCTCTTTCTCTAACTCTTCTCATTCTTATTATCTCTATCTCTATCTCTTCTCATTATATCCCTATCCATAATTCTTCTTATTTTCTATTTATATATCTTATCATTAACTCTTTATCTCTAATTCTTATAATTCTATATATCTTTATTTATTCTCATTGTCTCGGTATCTCTAACTCTTATCATTCTCTTTATCTTTATCTCTTTTCATTATCTCCCTATCTCTAACTCTTCTCATTCTCATTCTCTCTATCTCTTATCATTATCTCTCTATCTCTAACTCTTCTCATTATCTCTATCTCTATCTCTATCTCTACCTCTTCTCATTGTCTTTTTATCTTTAACTCTTCTCATTATCTCTATCTCTATCTTTATCTCTACCTCTTCTCATTGTCTTTTTATCTCTAACTCTTCTCATTATCTCTATTTCTATCTCTTCTCATTAAACACATATTCTCTTTCCAAAAGGATTTGCATATCTCTATTCCCGAAGGAATCACATATCTCTATTCCAGAAGGAATCACATATCTCTATTCCCGAAGGAATTATATATCTATATTCCCGAATGAATCACATATCTATATTCCCGAAGGAACCAAATATCTATATTCCCGATAGAATCACATATCTCTATTCCCGAATTAAAAAATAGAATAAATAAAAAAACTTCAACTTGAGTTTAATTTTAATTAAAAACAAAGTTTTAAAAAATTAAAAAATTTCAGAGTTTAAAGTATAATTTAGTATGATAAAAAGTTTGGTGGTTAAATCAAATCATTTTATCACCCCATTTAGGCCACATAGTCATTTAGGCCAAAACCAAAAAAGTCCATACTTTAAGATCTAATTTAGCTTAATGAAATCAAGTTTTTTTTTAGAATTTGATGGTTATTTAAGTCAAAACTTAATTACTTTAAAAACTAGCTTATAAATTATTTTTCGCAAAACATAACAACCTAATAAACCACAAAATATAAAACTATCTTATTTTTGGGATTTTTTTAGATTTCAACCTGATAAAGAATTGTTTTTTGTTTTTTTTTTTTATGAAAAAAACATTATAAATATAAATGATTTTTAAGAAAAAAATAATAGAATAATTTTAGATAAAATGTTAAAAGATATATTGCTTCTATGAAAAATTTCATTTTCTAAAAATGAAAAAAATAATAAGCTGGGTATAACAAAATCCATAGAGACGTGATGAAGACTACAACAGTCGCCAATGAAAATCCAAAACCCTTTGCCAATTCGATGCAATCGAATGTGGGAATGAATGTCGACGGCGACGGCGACGGCGACGTAGTCCAATAGTTTTTAATTGGTAGTAGAATGTTCAGAACTCCGACAACTAGTGTTGGCGGCAACGGCGGTGGTATCCCGTTAACTACCACCACCTCCGCTCAATCACCAAACCAGTCGGACACGGGTGATCAAAGCCACCATCGGTCTGCTCCTTCGAGAGCCATTCAGTTTCACCCGGCCAAACCCGCCATCATCGACCTATTCAACCTCTATCTCGGTGTACGTTTTATTTTTTATAAATCAAAGTATCAAACGACCGTTCGACTTCGCAATTCACGAAGGAAAATGTTCATTCGCTTTAGAATAGTCTTTTTCTCACGTTCTCGTCTATGCTTTCATCTACGCATTTTGATTTTCGTCTGTCAATCAATTATAATCTTTGCAGAGAAATGGCCGCCATAAGTCAGACGATTCGATCCGAGAACCTCCGTAAGTCAATACACCGCTCATCTTTCTGTTTTTTGTTTGCATTTTGAAGAACAGAGGATTGCGATAAAGCTAGAAGTAATTTATTGTAGCACATTGATGATTTGTGATAAATTTTCACTATTTATGAAAATCAACTACAGGAACAAGACACAAAAGCGAGTTATTGCCCTCAATAGAGACATTCACATTCCTCCGTGCGATGGACAGTTTCTTTTAGACTTTGAGCAACTTCAGAGTCAGTTTCCTGTAGGTTTCTAACTACAGAAAGCATTTTCATTAGCATCTAATTTATCTTATACTGTATAAACTGTGGTTGTTTATGGTTTATCTTTCCAGGGTCAAGAACAACTGCGTGCTGTGTTGGAGTCTGTGTTTGTATCTATGATTATCCAGTGTAGTGGTCATGCACCAAGATCAGAGTTTCTTCTTTTTGCTTTGCGTAGTTTGTACAGTATTGGGTATATATATTGGGATTCTTTTCTATCGTCTCTTCTTTCTTCAGTCACATCTGCAGAAATGTCTCATATTCAGTCTCCAAATCCGGAGTCATCTTTGATTTCAGTTCATGGAATTGGATCTCCATCTCAATCAGCAAATGAAACATCTTGTACAGCTTTGTCTCCTGTCAAATCATCAATAAAAGATTTCCCTATAAGCAGCCTGCGTAAGTTATCTTGTGAGATAATTATTTTTGCCATGGAAGCCAACTTAAAGCCAAGTACATATGCTGATATTTTCTGCCACATGATGAAGTGGCTGGTAAACTTGGATCATAAGGCCTTATCTGAATGGCTACAAAAGTGTTTAGATGTGGTTTGGATGTTGGTTGATGAAAAGAAATGCCACGTCCCCTTCTATGAACTATTGCGAAGTGGACTACAGTTTATAGAAAACTTACCTGATAACAAATCACTATTTACACTCATTTTGGAGGTTCATAGGAGACGAGGTATGATGGCCATGTACATGTTAATGTTAGATCAACATCTTCATTGCCCTACATTTGGAAGTCAACGCCTTTTGTCTCAAGCTGCAATTAACATGATTGGTGAATCAGTCCCACATCCAAGATACTCACCTATTACATATCCAAGTGTTCTTGGAGAGCCATTGCATGGGGAGGTAAGCATATGCAACTTCTCCCAAATCTTTCATTGTGAAACATCTTCCTCTGAAAAGATATTATTAAGAACACTTCAATGATCTAATATTCTGGTACCTCCACTTATACGTAGAGTATGAAACTGTTCCTTGAGATACAACAGATTAAGAGTTTTAGAGTTTTTTCAAACATTTGTCTTAATGACATAGCAAGATTGAAAATGATGTATTATCCTAGAATGAACATCTTGAATGATCATGTGTATGTATGTAGGATATTGCTTTTTCAATTCAGAGAGGAAGTGTTGATTGGGAGAGAGCTATGCGATGTATTAGGCACGCCCTTCGTAATGCTCCATCACCTGATTGGTGGCGGCGTGTGCTTCTGGTGGCACCTTGTCACCGAGCACAGCCACAAGGATCACTAGCAGGTGCTGTCTTTAGTTCTGACATGATTTGTGAGGCAACCATTGATAGGATTGTTGAACTCTTGAAGCTTACAAATTCAGGTAAGCTTATAAACTCATGACATGATTTGACATGCATACGGGTTCCTAATACAATCCATCTAAACTCTAATTGCATTTCCAACCTTCAATAAGGTAAATAGAAGATTATACCTTCATATGATTATATCTTCTATTCTTCAATAATTTATCTTCAAAGCTCAAAGATGAACAAAATCGCACCTACAACCCTTTTTTAAGCTTATGGAATTGAGAATGTGATAAATGACCAAAAATCCTTTTTTTAGTTATTTAAATAACTTGGTCAACATTATGTTGGAGTTGGAGTTTAACAAGAAAAGCAATTGACTTCTCTTTTCAATGTTGCAGATGTGGATTGTTGGCAGGAGTGGCTTATCTATTCAGATATCTTTTTCCTTCTCATGAAAAGTGGTTGCATTGATTTTGTTGATTTCTTGGACAAGTTAATTTTATGCATAACCAAGGAAGATAATCAAGAAATTCTCAAGACAAATCATGTCACATGGTTGCTTGCACAAATTATACGTATCGAGCTTGTAATGACCACTTTAAGCACAGACTCAAGAAAAGTAATTGTTTTCTTTATCTAATTTAATCTTTAATGATGGTCACTTGGTCAGTAAATACATAACATATACTTAAACATGTATAGTATATTATATTTGTAGGTGGAAACAACCAAAAAAGTTTTGTCATTCCATAAAGAAGCCAGACCCTCGGATCCTAATAATCCCCAAAATACCCTTCTTGACTTTATAACCAGTTGTCAAACCCTTCGAATATGGTCACTCAATTCATCAACAAGAGAATATTTAAATAGTAACCAACTTCTTAAAGGAAAGCAAATAGATGAATGGTGGAGGCAAGTAGGTAAAGGTACACCATATCGTATACCTACAAGTTACATATCACTAGTTTCATTTTGCCATGTGGCTGATTTTTTTTTCTGACGATTTTGCCCTTTCCTTCCAGGGGATCATATGATGGATTATATGAATTTGGATGACAGATCCATTGGGATGTTTTGGGTTGTATCTAACACCATGGCACATCCTGCTTGTGAGATGGTGTTGACTTGGTTGACTTCTGCTGGACATGAAGAATTACCAGGTCAAAATATACAGACTAATGAGAAAATGACAGTCATGAGGGAGGTTAATCCTGTCCCAGTGTCACTAATGTCAGGATTTTCAATTAATTTGTGTCTGAAACTGGCTTTACAGATGGAAGATGTTATGTTTTTTGGACAGGTAATCTAATCTGTATGACTTTTTGCAAACATACCATGATTATGATTGAATTGAACATATGTTTTCTGATATTTAATTTTTGACATTTTATTGCAGCATGCACCTAGTATTGCCATGGTGGAAACATATTGTAGGTTGCTTCTTATTTTCCCTCATTCGTTGTTTCGTTCACATTTAAGTGTAAGTTCTTCTCTTTAATTGCTTCTTGAAATATCAATTTTTGTTTAAATTTGTCTTAAATTTTGCAGCATTTGCTTCAGAGGAACCCTGAAACTTTTAAAAAGCCTGCAGCCACACTTTTAGTGCTTGAAATACTCAACTACCGCTTATGTTCATTGTACAGGTGATTCAGACTTATGCTTTCTTTTATCAATATCGACAACATTTTTTTTATTACCAATTTTCTGTATTTAATATTATTAGTACAATTATAGATACCAAGGAAAGAGCAAGCCATTGATGTATGACATCATCAAAATTCTGTCTACACTAAAAGGAAAACGTGGAGATCATCGAGTGTTTCGATTGGCTGAGAACTTATGCATGAATCTCATTATGTCATTGAGAGAATTTTTCTTTGTGAGGAAGGAAGGGAAGGTACTAGGGGCTTATTTGTCTTTTTCAAGTATAATTTTTTCGTTTTTCAGTAATATAAAGTAAAAACCACCTTCATTTAAAAATCTTTTGCAGGGAGCTTCTGAGTTGACCGAAACATTGAACCGTGTAGCTGTAACGAATCTTGCTATCATTATTAAAACACGTGGAATTGCTGACGTGGACCACCTTCTATATCTTCCAACAATGTTGGAACAGATATTGACTGATAGTCAACACACATGGTCAGACAAGACCTTATGTTACTTTCCAGGTGTCCTTCGTGAGGCCTTGATTGGGAGGGTGGACAAGAGAGGCCTTGCAATCCAAGCATGGAAACAGGTTACTTGCTATTTGGCTATATGAAGATATCATTGATGTGTTTGGAACTTTAGATAGTAATAAGGGTATTTTTGTAATTTTGCAGGCAGAAGCAACTGTTATCCATCAATGTACACAGCTCCTATCACCACCAGATGATCCAACTTATGTCATGACTTATATAAGTCATAGTTTTCCTCAACATAAACAATATCTATGTGCTGGTGCATGGGTACTAATGCGTGGACACCCTGAGAATATTAACAGTGCAAACCTGGTAAAATAAAATAAAACAGCTGTCCACTTTATACTTTCTTCCAACATTTTGTTTTTATTATAATTTATAAGTCAAACCTCTCTCCTTTGACTACAGGGACGTGTGCTTGGAGAATTTTCTCCTGAGGAAGTGACTGCAAATGTGTACACTCTGGTGGATGTCCTTTTGTGTAATATTCACTTGGACCTAAAACATGGACATTCCTTGCAGGTTTTATAATTCTTTTTGATTTTTTTTCTTCCAATTAATTGGCCTTTAATAGTCATAATATAATGTCTCAGTTTGGTTTCAAATTTGTAGGATGTAATATCAAATGTGTGTGGAAATCTTGCACATTTTATTTGGAAACACGAGTTGCTGCCTCCAGATGTTTTGCTTCTTGCACTGATTGATCGTGATGATGATCCCCATGCATTGCCTATTGTGGTATGCTCTTCAAGATGTATAATCTTTTCAAATCATTTTACATTTGTTAATGATTTTTAATTTCAGATAACTAATTGTATTTTTTTAAGGTTAATTTACTTGAAAGACAAGAGCTTCGACAAAGAATAAACTTTTATGTTGCTAATTGTGGAAGCAGCCCTGATCATTGGCTTCAAACTGGAATATTTAATCGTACTGAATTACAGAAAGCTCTTGGCAATCATTTGTCATGGAAGGAAAGGTGATGTAAAGACACATTTTTTGTCCTTTTCTGTTAGTAAAAAACCATGAGTTAATTGTTAGTTAGTCTAAATTATAGACATTATGTTACATTTATAAACATTATGTTACATTTTTTGCAGGTCACCAACATATTTTGATGACATGGCAGCACGTTTACTTCCTGTAATCCCATTAATTATTTATAGACTTATCGAAAACAATCTTACAGATTTAGCAGATCGTGTCCTTCAATTCCATTCATCTTTCCTTCATTTCTACCCTTTAAATTTCACATTTGTTCGTGACATTCTTTCATATTTCCACCCTCATCTTCCCCCAAACCTCATTTTCCGTATACTAAGCATATTAGACGTAAAAAAGGTAAAAAAAAAAAAAAGGAAATTATATTTTCACTTTTTTTTTTCTTACTGTTTCACTAACCATATAACTACTTTTTATGTTTTACAGACACCATTCTCCGAGTCATTTCCTCAACATGTGAATTCATCAAACAACATATCTCCACCATTGGAGTACTTCACTTCTCTTTTAACAAATCTTGTAAATATTGTCATCCCACCTTTATCTAATAAAACTAACCAATCAGAATCAACTTTCAAACCCCAAAACCAAAAACCATTCTATCAAATTCAAGATCCCGGGACACATACGCAACTTGTTCTCGAAACCGCAGTTATAGAAATCCTATCTCTCCCCATAACCCCAACACAAATTATCTCATCATTTGTACAGATTATTATTTCCTCCCACTTTCAACCAAAATTTAATCAATCATCTTGTTTGATGATTCAAGCATGTGGGCTTCTCTTGGCTCAGCTTCCTGTTGAGTTTCATACACCGCTTTTTGCTGAGGTGGCACATGTGATTAAGGAGAGTTCGTGGCATTGCAATGGTTATGGCTATGTTTTGTTGGATCCAACATGGGCATGTCAAGAAAATACCTCAACTGCCCTTGGTAGGTTTTACAAAATTTTGGTTTCGTTTGAATCCTTCATGGGGTGATTTAGTCTTTTTACTGTGTAATAATGATAGGAAATATGGTGGCATTGCTTCATGCGTTCTTCAGTAATCTTCCACATGAATGGCTGGAGAAAACACATCTTCTTGTGAACCAATTAAGACCTGTTTCTTCTGTTGGAGTGCTAAAAATAACTTTTCGTATAATTGGTCCTTTGTTGCCAAGATTAGCAAATGCTCACACTCTGTTTGTTAAGGTATTCTACTTTCAAACTTTTTCTTATTAAAACATTCTACTTTGATTTTGGACTCATTATGTTTTAAACAAATAAACAAATAAATGAAAGTAGGTTGCTATTTTGAGTCGTTATGTTTTTTAATTAAATTTCCAGACTTTGGAACTGCTTTTGAGCATGATGGTGGATGTGTTTGGGAAGAATAGTCAGCAGCCATCAATTCCTGTTGAAGCATCAGATATAACTGATCTTATAGACTTCCTGTAAGAATACACTTATTTAATCATATAATCAATCAAATGAGTAACTTCTTATACTATATTTCTTATCTGTGTAACAAATTTATAAAACTCTGATTTTATTTATTTATTTATAACTTTTATCACAGTCAGCATGTGGTGCATTATGAAGGGGAGGGGGGACCTGTACAGACGAATTCTAAACCAAAAGCAGATGTATTGGGTTTATGTGGAAGAGCCATTGAGAACTTGCGTTCAGATTTGCAGCATCTTCTTTCTCACTTAAAAACTGATATTATGTAAATTCTTCTCAAAAATCCATCTTCAAGTTTCAGGTTTTACTTCTCTTTTACTTACATTACATGCTTTCTGAATATATATATATATATATATATATATATATATATATATATATATAGTCTGTATAGATGTACTGAGTAATGTTTTTGAGATAACTGAAGTTTTTATATTAACAGAAATAATATAAAAGGTAACAAGTTAGTATAAACAGTTAAACCGCCAAAAAAATTTATATCGTTTAGTAAATGTTGAAACTTTCCTTTTATTACACATATAAACTACAAAATAGAATTGAAAACATAAAATCTGTCCTTGTAAACACCTGAAGCTTTACAACATACAGTTACAATGAGAGAGATTGTTGATTGTTTCTACTGGGAAGAGGAACAGGATCGAGCTTAAAAACATGCTCTTAATAACTCCAAAAAATATGTATTGTTTACTTGTTATCATCTTTATTCATTCTGCTACTTGATCCAGGTAACGTACTTTTACCAAGGTTATAAGGTGCTGAAGCCATTACTCTATATAAAAAAAGTATAAACATATACAAAAAAAAAAAAAAAAGTCATTAGTTTTTCCAATATTTGACTTTTGAGGTCAAACAATCAATCAATTAAGCAAACAAAATACACAATTCGTACCATACCTTTCCTTTCGCTTCTCAAGAAACCGAGCCAAAGATGCTCCCCTCATCTGGGGAACCGCTGCATGGACAAAGTCAGTGTCACTGTCAGTGTTGATGTTAATGTCAGTGTAAGACTACCGACTACAAATAACTTTGATTTAAATACCTGACTGCATGACTCGTCGAAGCGAGCTCATGGCTTTTGTAGCATCCATTGCTGCCCTTGAGCTTGTGCCAGTCGATGGATTGATCGACACTGGGCTCGAGGGGGCGGTGGTCATTGGTTGACTCACGTGGACCCCGTTTCCGGCTAATAACATTATGGCTTGTGCCTATAGACAAATGAAAAGATTTTTAGGGTTTTGTTTTGGTTGAAATATTTAAAATTAGTAACAAGAAATAAATTGATTTTAAGTGATTGAACCTTTTCAGGGGACATATCATCGTACACGTTCACAGTACCCTTGTAAAAGATGGTTAACTGAACCGGACTACGTTGTTGTACTTGTACACCAGAATGATTTCCAGTCCGCCTACTATCACCTATAAGTTTTTAAGTAAATGATACTAATTGGATATAATTTTTAATTGTTAAAATCAATCTAAAAGTAGTAACTTAAACAAATACGCACAGAAAATCGCAATAACAATTTTACATTATTTAAAAAAAAAAACAAAGCTTTGAGAGAAGAAAAGAATTTAGAAAAATAGAACTTTCAAAAAAGAAAAAATAAAAAAGAAAAAATTCAAACTTGTTTTGATGAAGGCATTTCTGAAGTTCTGAATCATGTAAATTAAAAAATAAACCTTCAAACTCCATTAGCGAACATACTTCTTGTTATATCCAAAATACTAACAATTAAAAGGTTCAGAATTAAGTCAACACATGGAATAGCTTTATGAAATCACTCATAAGCACCATAAACCCAGTTACCCCGACTAATTAATATTTCAAGAGTTACAAGCAATAAAGATTAAAAATTATCAAACAATAGGTCAAAACTTGATTTTTTATAAAAAAACCCATCATGAATTAAACCACCAAAATCCCAATAAACAAACGTATAACATGATATTTTAAGAAAATAAAAACCCCATGAAAACTGAAGCTTTAATACTTTGATAAACCACAAATAGTAAAAGTAAAAATGAATATTACTGGAAAGATGTACCTGCTTCAATGGCTTCTTCCTTAGAATTCAAACCCATGAAATCCCTCTCCATTTTCACCTCAAATTCCAAGATTTAAAACCCAAAAATATCTTCACAAGTTTAAAAAAAGAAAAGAAAAGATATGAGAGAGAGAGAGAGAGAGATTTGGAAGTGCAGCGAAATTTAGAGTGAGAGGGAGAGGGTTTTTTAGTCCTGCTTGTTCTATGGAAAAATATCGCAGCCGTTGATTACATTAAATAGAAAATAGCATGTTTATATCACTTCCCTAAATAAATACTATAACATTTTCTTTATTATCCTTTTAAAACTAATCATAATTTTTTATTTATAACTGTAGTGGCAAGGTCCTTTTACCTTTTTTGCACCTGGGGAATATATTATTGTTACAGAAAAATTCCAATATCTATTATATTATGATTTTTATTTATTTTACAGTATTTAACAATAAAATCACATAAGTAACTTCATTAAGGGTAGCGGAATATCTAATATAAAATATAGAGTAAATTACACGGATAGTCTCTATGGTTTGGGTAACTTGCGCGTTGCATGTTTGGTCTCTGATGAAAACCAAAATAGTTTTTTTTTATCAGACAGGGACCGAACGCGTAAAAAAAAAACATGTCAGATGAAGATTTAATGATAAACAGGGCCGTTCCAAGCCCATTTGAGGCCTGGGGCAAAATAAAAATTTAGGCCCTGTAAGGGTGTTACTTGGTCGGTTTAATTCGTTTTTAGTTTATTCAAATTGGTTTAATAATTTTTTTTTTAATTTTAACACGTAAACAAAACCAAATAATATGGTGTAATCGGTTTTGATTAATTCGGTTTGAGGTTGTTTGGTTCGGTTTACACAGAGATTAAAATGACTTTCACGACATATTTGTTTTTTACTATAATAAATTAATAAGTGTATACAAAAATACCAATAAAGATTTATGATGACTTTTTACTTTTGTAAAAAAAATGTCTAAAACTGAAGCTCTAAATCAAAACAAAAATGAGGAATATGATCAACCAAATGAATAAAAAAATACTTTGCAAGTCAGCTGCTACAACCAAGAAAAAAATAATTATTTTTCCATTTTTACCCTTTGCAACGAGTGGATAACAATTTAACTTCATAAAGTATGAACGAAGAAGGCAGTAACAATTTAAAAAATACTTATTTTTCCATGATTGCCCTTGCCAATAGATTCAAATGGTCATGTACTTTATTGTACATCAGCAACCAAGAAGCACTTAAAACCCTTTGAATGAACAATAGAGATAACTTGAGCAATGTGCTGCCGTGCAGATAACATCAATTAAAATCTCACTTACATCACCAAAAAATCATTGAACTTTGGGGAGAAAACCTGAAATAACAAGGTTCAATGATTATTATACAACAACAAATCCATTAAAATCAAAGATTATCCAACAGTTCCCCATACGTTTTGAAGATATGACATTTTATAGCAACAAAAAACCAAGGCAAATTACATAGTGTAGGAAATAGAAATTCGTATGAAAGTGTAAGAAAAAACAAGAAATTCAGAAAGGCAAAATCAGATTTAGAAGAATAAGAAATTTCAAGAAGCTTTAAACTTACAAAAATTCAGATTCATAAACCAATTGCGTCTACGACTCTCAATTATCGAACTTCCAATTCAGAAAGAAATATTAGTGACTCTCGATTCTACAGGTTCAAATTCAAAAGAAATCCTAATGCCTCTCATTTGGTGCATCCGTGTAGCGATGCTATTGAAGATATAAAAGATCAGAAATAAGAAGGGATGAATAAGAAATCGTCAGGTGAATAAGAATCAAAATGGGAAACATAAGAAGAAATGGAACTCAGAAATAAAATAAGAACATTAAAAAATCCAATAACAATTAAAACAAGTGAAGAACTAACCATTGGTTGGAGAAGTGGAATCGATGGCGTTTGGAGTTTCCATAGAAATCGATTACTGTAATCTATCAGTGTTGATGAGCCTTGAAAATAGGAAATTGACAACTCACGCACGCTAGGTAATCTCGCTTGCGTCGCCTTCTTTTGGCACGCGATCAGTGTTGGACTATTGGGCCAATCCATTAGGCTTAAAAACAATGGGATAACACCATCAAATCCAATATAAGAAGAAAAAAAAGGGGGCCCTTTGGCATTTGGGGGCCCGGGGTGGTCGCCTAGCTTGCCCTGGCCCATGGGCCGGCCCTGATGATAAAATAAAACCATTCAAAATTTACTGTAAAATCTTGAAGATTTAATGATAAAATAAAACCAATATTCTTTTGATTATTACAATATGCATATTTTGATAAATTTTACAAACAAGAAAGTTACTAAAACTTGTATAAAAGAAAATACTTAAGTCAACGACATACGAGATTACTGAAGGAGCAATGAGCAGGTCGGATGACTGGCTACGCCGGTAACAATTCACGTGCGCGCCATTTTAAAACGTAAAACTCACGCCCAATAAAAAAAACAACCAATCATCTGTCAGTTGCCAACGAGACCCGTCACTGGAATTGCGGGCCGGTTAATTTCTTTTTACAGTCATATCACATGTATTTAAATCTAACAAAAGCTACAAAATTGTATATTTTATAAAAGGTTAATAGGTATCAATTAAATTGATTAGAAAAACCTCGTAGCATACAATAATCACAATAATCATCTACCCTAAATTTATTACAAAATAACTGCATCTCGCGATATTGTTATTTATTTATTTTATTTTATTTTTGACAAAAGATAAATCTATCCACAATTTTCTAGGATTCAATAAAAAATTAGTCTAATCACTAAAATAACCATGATTTTGGGTAGATTACTTCCTCTGTAAATATCTGTTATCCGCGAAAAAGTGAAAGAAAGCTTAATTGACATGCAAAAAAAAGTGGTTTATCACCTTTGCAAAATCTTGAAATCAATCCGAGAAATCGTCTGAAAAATGATGAGAAATCCTAATTTTTGTTAATTTTATAGGTCAAAAATACAATCTTTAGATTTCTTTTGCAATGTTTGAATATTTCAAACACAAAGAACTTCAAATAGATGATTTCTTTTTTTGAAAAACTTCCCCGATAAACTTGGATATTCACAAGTGGTCATGCGCAAAAAAAAATGTTGATTTTTTTTTTTTCAAATAGGATCCATCCTTTTTCGAAGAAAACCGTCTGGAAAATGATTGATAGAATTATTATGATTTGATTTTTTTAACTGATAATAATTATCATAAACTTTAAATGGTACATTATTTTATAAAAGTATATTTAAATTTTTTACTGTTTACTGACAAATTTGTGTTTGATATTTAATAGTGACTACTAATGGGCTATAATTATCATTGTTTATTGTTGGAACTTTTCTTATAAAATATAATAATTTTAGCGAAAACGAAATTAGTACAATAATTTTTCAGATAATAAGTTAAAAATATAATATCTTTAATGAAATTTTTTTATAATTTAATAAAATAGATTAATGATTTGATTTTCCAAAACCTGAATCCACTTGCATTCGGATGAAGATTTCCATGTTTGAAAACAAAAACGTGAAATGTGATTGGGACCAGTAATTAAAAAAAGTTTGGACAGTTGTGCAATACATTAAAAAGGAACCTTTGTGCATGAAGTATTAAAATCAAAGTAATGCAACACATGTCAAAATAAACTATTCGTGGCGTGCTATCTGTCCAAAAACACGTGTCTTTTTCTGATTTGATGAGTTTTAAACGTTTATGACAAAACAAGATAAATGCTAAATGAAAACCTTAGTAGAAGTAAACTCGTGCATTGCGTCGTATATAGGATGTAATTTCAAATGTTAACAGTTTACGATCGACGATTTTACTATATGAATAAGACAGAAGAACATAAAATGATTTTCTACCGTTTGGTTCTTGATATATGCATCATGAGAGAAACTTGGTGATGATGGTTTAATCTTGTGAAAAATGGGGTTCTTTTTGACATCTTGGTCAATTATATGGTATTTTTGTTTTCATCTTGTTTGAATCTTATATGCATTATATTATTATACACATCTTTTATAATAGTTGAAGTTTTATCATTACTAGGGACGTGTTCGGCAAAATTAGCTGGTAGCGGGTAGCTTGTAGCGTTTTGTTAAACGCTACATAAAGTAGCATTTGGATTTGGAGCGTTTTGCTTAAACTAAACGCTAGAAGCTTGTGGTGCCAAATAAGACTTTCTGTTCAAAACGGAGCGTTTTGTCAAACGCTCCTAAAAGCTCCGTGCCGAACACGCCCTAGATGCGGTTCTATTCTTTTATGATTTTTCTTTTTAGAATTCTTGGAATGTTTGAGACTTTGAGTGTATCTAATTGTTTTGAATTGTAAGTAGTTTGATTTTTGAAAAATTATTTTAAATAGTTTGATTCAGGAATTAATATTTTACAGGCTTATAAATTGATTTGTAGATTGTTTGATTTTAGGAAACACACGTATTTCATTTATTTTGTATGGATATTGGTAAATTGATTTTAGTGGTAACTCCTTTGATCTTTGTAAACAACATTGAATTATAATTGGTTTTGTATTATTTATCATGAGTAAATTGACTAGTGGAGTTTATATAGTTCATTGCGTCCGAAAAAGAGTTTATATAATAATTTTTCTATAGATATTTAATCACTTGTTCACTGATATCAAAAATCACAGTAAAATGGTATGAATTACTTAACATATTTAATATTTATTGTATTTTGTTGCAGTTAAAATGAGAATATATTACAAAAAAATCATTGAACAAAAAATATTAATCATTTTAGTCGTTTTTAATGCTTTACGATTAGTAATTTTTATTTAAGTGTACAACAAAAAAAGTGTTTTTTTAAGTTAGAAGATGTTTAAAGAGGTTAGATGATTCTGATCTACATCTGCACCAAGATGAGGACGCACATATTTTTTTACGTTTGTGGTTTTCTAATAAACAATATGCGAAGGCTAATGTGTAACACCCCCGATTTTCAACTATCGATTTAAATGACAAATAATCGTTCCAACATCTCCCATGATCAATTCTAAACTTACGTATAGACTAACCTACAGCGGAAGCAAAATAAAATAAAATAAAATCTTCAATTGAAGAACTTCGGGTGTTACGTCTTTGCGGAACTCCTTTATCGTCTTGTTGTAAAATCATTCTCCTTGCCTTCTTACTGCCACTTGCTAAATAGTTTCCTGGGTTGCGCACATTTAAAGTTTCTAAATGGGTAAGCCTAAGGCCTAGTGAGTTCGTGTTGCACATACATGTCCATCACTT